GCGCCGGCGCCCCGTCATGTTGGTAATACATATTACGTAGAGATGCAAGTGGTATGTCCTCTAACAACTCTGGCAGCGTGTCGCTGAGAAAACTATGATAGCTTTCACCGTTTAATCTTTCTATGAAGACCGGGCCCAGTAACGTTGTATTAATAACGCCTGCACACACATTGACACTAAATCGGCGTTGAAAGCTATGCGGTATTGGTTCATGTGGATTTTCATAGCACCACAAGTGTTCATTGTGCGAATTAAATAGTCCTATTCTGCCAAATGGTGCTTCATCAGTCTATAAAATGTTAGCTCGTTCAGCAGCTAGTAACCAGTTACAAAATGTAACTCGCGCTGGTTTGTCAGCTTCGCTGAGTTCATGAACACGATGCAGGTGGAATGGGTACTTCCCTTCATTGTGTATGACACTCCATGCGTAGTACTGTGACACATTGAACTGTCGGGCTGCCTCATAAGTGCTCGCTGCTGGATTTTGTTCAAAAACTGCAGTATATCTTTCTGTTCACGTACTGTGCGCCGCGGTGGACGACCACGATCGATTGATACAGGCTGGAATTGCCCGTAATTTCGCAATCGCTGTATAGTACCTAGCATCGTAGCATAGCTCGGTGCACGTGAGTTGGGAAATCGCCTTGAATATTCACGGCAGGCTTCACTAACGTTATCATTGCAAATTACTAAAATTCGCACCATTTCGGTATACTCAACATTTGAGTATTGGTAAGCCATCATCGTAACAACGTAACGTTCGCGTTATTAATCTCACAACGGAAGGAGAAACGTCGCAGGCGCACCAAAGGCGACTGACGACACAGGTAATTAGGTCAAGTTCAAATGAGCAAGCGCCTCCTCCTACACCCCTTCACCCCTACCCCGTCACGCGGTTTCTTTTGCTATTTAGGACTATTGCTGTTTAGAAGATCCAATTAAAATATTTTTATTTTTGTATGAAAATAAAAATTGAAGAATAATATTTTTTTTTCTTACAAATGTTGTTGTTATGATGTAAATAATATATTCCCAAAAGGTCTTCAGTAAATTAAAAATTACCCTGTAGATTGTAAATATTAATTATTGAAAGTCACTGTTTTGTTTAATTACCACTGGTTCGAAAAAAAACCTCTGTCCTTGGAAGAACCAGCAAGAAACCCAGCGGGACTTTTTTTTAAATAACAGCATACAATCAGAGGCGTAGCGTGGAGTAATATAAACGTGGGCGAAGTTGCATCAGCGAGGCCTCTTTTCTTTCGTTCCAAGGATCTACCCAATAGATCTATCCTACCAAACATGATTTGACACGACATACGACGACGACATTGAAAGTTTGTAGAATTGGCCACTTGTAAACGATATAATAAAAAAATAAATTAAAATTTTGAAAATGGAACTCTGCCAGTATTATTGTGTATGTATTTTATTAATTTGTCATTTGTTTACGATTTGGCGGCAAATTGAAAATTGTCTGTGTCACGTCAGCATGAATTTAATGCGAGAACGGGTCAGGTCATTACGCAACAATTGTTTTAGAGGATCGAAAAACAGTAACTGCAGAGTGGTACACTAATAATTGTTTGCCAATTGTCTTTGAAAAAGTTCGGGAGAAACGACCTCACAGTAGGATCCTCCTTCACCATGACAACGCCTCAACGCACACCGCCAAGCACACTACTTGGCGACGTCAGACGTGGAATTACTGGGTCACTCGCCCTATAGCACCGACCACGCACTTTGCGATTTTTATTTATTTCCGAAAATAAAAGAAAAACTTCGAGGAAAACGTTTTATGGATGCCGAGGAAGCTGTGGCTGCGTTTTAAAATGCCGTCAAAGAGACTTATTCTGCGGGCCTCGCGAGGCTCCTTTAACTGAGAGCCGAGGCCGTGGGCGAGGGGCCACTTCGCCCATGCCTAGCTACGCCACTTTTACAATCATGTATGTAACACAACAACACAAAACAAATTAGAAATAGCTTGGTAGTGATCACCTCATTCCCAGGGGTTACTATCATCACATAAATTCCTTAATATAATAATAACCCTTTTTATACATACTTAGTTTATTACAGTTTTTGAACTATGAACAGGTTTTGTATATTTTCTGGGATTTTGTTAAGTTGTGTGTAAGTGTGTGAGTGTGATATATTAAGTTAATGCTCACATTGAATAATATTAACAATATTGTGAACACAATCAAATATGTTCTCAATTAGCGAGTAACTTTTTATGTGTGTAAGTGTTAATTTTTCTACAAAATTAACTTAAAAAAGTATCTTAACGTTAAATTGTTGATTTTTACTTTAAAATAAATAAATATATTGCTACATAACTATTACAATAACTGTTTGTCATTAACATGCATTACATATCTGTATATGTATAACAAATTTACCAGATTTCAGTATACAATAAAAAAAAAATTAACATGTCTAAATAAGTTTCGGTTTCGGCCGAAACTGACACTAAGACCGAAGGTTCGGTTTTGGTTTCGGTTGAAAATCCTGATTCGGTCGGACACTAGTTATTATGCTACTAAAGAGTACATGATTGATAATAACCCATGAGATTGGTGATTGCTACCATGCTGTTTCTAAATGTTATCATACTAATTGTATAAAATAATATATTGTAAATTAGTTTTATTTCGAAAAAAGTCTCGCTAGGTTTCTTGCTGGTGCTTTCAAGAACAGAGGTTTTTTCCGAACCAGTGGTAAAGCTTAAAACACTTTCAATAAGTATTCTTGTAATCTATATTTTATAAAAATGATTCTATTATATTCTTTGACTCCTCAAATGAAAGCAATTAACCGCAAAATGTTTGCAACATTTAGTTCACTACGGAGCCTTTTTACTAGCGTCCGACCGAGTCCGAAACCGAAAACGAAATTTCGGTCTGGATGTCAGTTTCGGCCGAAACCAAAACCGAAACTTATTTACACATTGAATAAAACTACTTTTACGGATTATATCGCGTTTAGACGTAGAATCCGTAAAAGTAGTTTTATTCAATGTGTAGTGTTCGCGTAAATATAAGAAATCATTATTTAGCCATGTTATTTTTTTATTATAAATTGAAATCTGATATATTTTTCAATACATATACAGATAGGTAATGCATGTTAATGAAAAATATTAATTGTTATTATATTACTAAAAAAAAAAAATTAAAAATTTAACGTTAAGAAATACTTTTTAAGTAAATTTTGTAAAAAATCAACACTTATAAAACGTTACTCGTCAATTGAGAACATATTTTATTGTGTTCACAATATTGTTAAAACTAATATATTATTCAATGAGAGCATTAACGTAATATAATTATGAGTACTACACGAGTCACGAACTCTAATCTACTACGCACGATAATCCACGAACACTTGAGTTTCGGCGTTGCCGAAGGTTTGGCAGATTTTTTGCCGAAACCGATTACCGAAACTAGATTTTTTGCCGAAACTTGCCGAAACCGAAACCGAATCTTCGGTCGGTCACTACTTTTTATACATCTCCACAAAATAACGCTTGCCCAATATTTACTACTCCGTATCATCGACTGTGCCATTTGTAACCACGATATCACCGAAGAACAACTTAACGAACTTGGGCGATTCCAAAATATTTGTATATGGTTCATATTTTTGGATTTCGTAAATTTGCTACCATGTCTTAGAATACCGCACGAAACTAACATAGCACTCAAAATGTCTTCGTTGGAATTCTCTGTGCACAGTTGTACATATATTTTATATGTATAATTTTTCTATATGTGTGTTCGTTACTAAACTTCTAAACGGCTGGACCGAATTTGACGAATTTTTTGTGTGTTTGAGTGTTTCCCTGGATGGTTTAGATTTATAATTGGACCCGGTAGGTTGCCCTGTTGTCGAGATCCAGAAATCAGCCGTGCGAGTCCGGAGTGGATCGCTAGTATTATAATAAATCTTTTTGCTATTGGAGTGAAACTTTGGAACTCATTACCTCTGTCAATTAATAATGCTCAATCCTCAGTTTTGTTCAAGAAACAGGTTAAGAAACATTACTTGTCTCCCTAAAACCTCTCTTTTCCTCCTATAATTTGTGATCTCAGATCTATCGCCTAAAATCTGTTGTCTTTTTGGTGCATATATCGTTTAACAATGCAGTGCACCCTACCCGTTAATCTTCTCTTTTTCCCCTCAATATGTGTATTTTGTTTTGTTCTAATTCATCAGCCAGTATATGTACATGCCTCGCCTGTTGTATGGAGGATTTGCCTCAATCATAATGCTTAGTCTGGTGCTGCGAGTCTTAGTCTGTCTTTATGATCACAGTCACAGACGTCTTGCATCTTTTAAGTGCTCTCCGTCGCAGGTTATTTTATGTCTGACATAAAATGAGATGATCAAAGGGAGTTTTGGCAGGAACTTGACCGCCGGCGGATTGCTTGCTCCTGTATTTTGTTTATTTATTGGTTTGAAAGTGGATATTGATACGTAAAAGTAGTGCAACTTTGTGGTCCGATGGTAATATGAACCTCAAGATATTGTGTCTGCTTAGGCATCTTAGTAGTATTACTTAGGCTTCAGATACGGTTTTGGATGTTTGTCCTTGTGCAATTTATGGTTGTAAACTAACTGCCTCCACGATACAGGAGAAAATCCTAGAGCGGGGGTAACATTTTAAAAAAAAAGAAAAGATCGTCATCGATTGTCTGCTCGCTCAAGCTACCGTCAAAATCTCCCACAAACTTCGTAATATAACTTATCAACATATTGTGACGATTTTAAACAAACTTAAAAAGGATTAATTTTATTACTTGACACTGGCAAAAGTATACTGATAAAAGTAAGTACGAGTCCATTACCAAAGAAAGAGAAGATAAAACAATATAGATGATGGAGGTACCTCTTACGACACCGTCACACTCAAAAATATATACATAAAAGAAATTAATGTATGAAACATTTCTTACATGTTTACACATGCAGCGTATTTCATAAAATGTTGTGATTTACAGGAAAGGATACAATCGGTGATAGAGAAAAATACAAAATCGTCTGGAAACCTTGTTCAAAAAAGAAATAAGGGAAACAGTTTAAGATTTCAGTTGATTCCACTAAGAGAGAAGACTACCCACCATGGTAACAACGGCTCAAACCAGAATGAAAAAACCCAAGTTGAAGACAAAGGTCCACTATGACTAGGTTTAATTTTGTTTAGCATATTAGTTGTAAAGTATATTATTTACAAGAAATATTTCTTCGCCTCGCCTGATCACAAAAAGGTTAATGACAAAAATAAGCAGTTTACAGAATAAGGCTGGCATTTGGTAGATGTTTTAATTTATTTTATGGATGTTACAACATATAATTTTGTTAAGGTACAAACTTTGTTTTTCTATTGTAAATATATAATGTTTCACACAATTGACATTGCAGTCGTATACATATTTTTTAACCTGATTTCACATTGCTACATCTTGATTTTTGTTTGAAAACAAAGAGTTGGACACTTTAAGTGCCGGCAATAGAATATGTGTTTTCTTGTAAATTATTCATCAGGTTCAAAAATATTTCTCTTTTGTTGCCTGTCTCTGTTCCAGAAAACACATTATTTCTCAACCTTACACGAGAGACCACCGTCATAGAAAATGTAATGCCCTATCTAGTTAATTTGTTCACTCTCCACAAGAAAAAAATCGTGTGTTACACGCGTTAGAAGTGAAACCTAAATGATTTTTACTATTGGGGTATTTATAAAGTATTCTCCTCTGATTGAGCTTAATAAATATATAAGAGGAAATGATAAATATACATAAATATATATTACATATATACTAACATAAATAAATAAATAATTTATTTATGTAAATATATATTACATATATACTAACATAAATAAATAAATAATTTATTTATGTATTTATTTTTTATTATTTAGTTGGTAAGCCTTATTAAAAAAAATAAAAATGATACATCAAGCCGAGGTTTAGGTAGAAAGGGAAAAAAACCGGCGGGCGATCCGGGCGGTATCGAAGAGCATTAACTGCGGACTTCACGCTGTGACGTCATCGTGATGTTGTAAGGCTCTATAGTGAAATTTAATATTTTTGTTTTTCTAAAATAAATTTAAGACTAGTAACCAACAAAATATAAAAAAATATTAATTTTATAATATTCAATCATCGTCACTTCTTATAATTCATTTCTTCAATTTCCGACATGGTGTCTGATTCGTCTTCAGAGCTGGATTCTTCACCTCCAAGAAAAATTAGTAATTCTCTTTGTTCAATTTCTTGTAGATGGTCCGTCTCTCAATGCCCTTTTTCCAATCTTTCAACGTAGTTAATCTCTTTTTTCCACTCAGAAACTGTGATGGACTTTATAGCTTCTCTTATAAGATTTTCTATTTCTCTTTCTGACTGACTTACGTGTTTATCTGCCACTCGTTGCTTCAATAAATTCCATATATATTCGATTGGATTAAGGTCACACTGGTTGGTTGGCAGACGTAAAACTTCATGGCCGTTCTCTCTGGATAGTTGGTCCACAATGTATTTTTGGAGGCTTATTAATAACAACTAAATGGTATAATTCTGGCTTTGTCATTTTATCGTCGAACATGATATTATTTTTTCGAAGCCAGCTTCGTATTTAATATTTGAACTCTTGGGAGGCTTTTCCATTTGCGTCGAATGGTAAAGCGCGTTGTCGATTACCATTAGGCCAATTGGCGGCAAGTTTGGAATTTGTTTTTCTTTCAACCATTTTGTGAATTTTTTTGTATCCATTCCGTGATGATTGTCGCTAGTATTACTTTTGAATTTATATAAAGGTTCGGTCCCTTGAATGAATTAATTTTCACAGCCAGCATGTACAAGTATCCATCGTTGCTATTGGTTATTATTTTTTTTTATACTGACGTCGCTATTATTTTGTCAACATTTACTTACAAAATAATGCGAATGGATCTATGTCTCGTCTTAGTAGGTAATCGCTTTCTTATTTGCCCCGAGTTCATTGTTATCTTATATCCTTTGCAAGTAGCCTGCCCGCCAAGCGGCGATATCGGGCTTTTGCATTAAAACATGTCTTGCATTTTTACACCTAAGCAGTTGATCAGTATCAGCCGCAAAGTGGTTTTTCCTCCTCTAAAATGTAAATCACTTTTTGCAACCGCCAATATTTTATTTAACGTCGATATTTCTTTTCTAACTGTGTAGAAACGATTTATTATGTTTCGCAATGCGCCTATATCGGAATTGTCCTGTTCGATTTTTTAAGCGCTAGGTTTTCTTTTTTTGCCTGGTGTTGACAATTTTGGTGTTGGTCTTGATTCTGGGCCTGACTCCGAAGTACTAGGCCGAGGCGAAACAGTTTGTGCTACTGTTTTACTTTGCTTTTAATTTTCATCAGAGTCGTTTTAGAAACACCAGTTGCTGCACAATCCCTTTTTATAGCTTGGTCCACAGGAATCATTAAACGTTTATTTGCTTTCTCATTTTCAAAGAAAGTCCAATACCTTCAATATAATAGTCCTTGCCTCACTGTGGATTGTCTATCCCATAATTTTGTTTATTTAAAATAAAAAAGTCTAAACGTAACAACAACAATAATTAATAAACTTAATAAAACAAAAAATTCAACAACAAAAACAACAGAAATATAAGCCCCGCACGTTGATATTGCGATGGAACTTTAAAACAATAACAGCTGCGTGACGCCATCCAACGCAAAAAAGTACAGACAACAAAAAAGTTAAACTTCTTTTCGTGTGAGGTGTTGCTACCTCTGGTGAAAAAAGTTACTAACCTAGGGTTAAAAGTATTTATGTTATATACATATAAGACCTGAGGGTATTAAGGCCTGGCTAAGGGAAATTTGTAATAAAATGAAAAATATCCAACATAATCAACAAGTTTTATTATTAATCAGTCATGTACTTAAATTACTACAGAGTTTAAACAAAGAATATCTTCTCTAACTTAAAACCAAAACACAGTCTGTAGGCCTTATTAAAGTAGGGTAGGGTAAAAAGGCCTATACTTTAAACTATCCAAAAATGAACTTATACTACGTAAATTGGTATTCTTGAGATCAATAATCATTAACATAAACCAATAGGAAGCATAGTGGTCTTAGAAAATTAAATAAATTGCCTTTATTCGCATCCACCAGGACATTGAAAGTCATCTGTATCTTCTGCAGTCAAACCGACACACTGTTCGTGGTACCACTTGGAGCATCGCGAGCATTGCCTCATTGCATCGTCCTTTCTATCTTCTTTGCAGACATGACAGTACCAACTCACTTGTTTTTGTGATTTAACTTTGACGGTAGTAAACTTTTTTGCAGATACAATTTTAGCTTTCTTAGGATTTAAAGTCTTTTTAAACTTCGTTTTTTATTTATAACCTGTTTTAACGTCAGTAAAGTTTTCGTCTTGTTTATTTTTTTCTTTTGTTACCTTGCACTTCATTACTATTTATTTTCTCTTGATTATATTTATCAAATAGGTCTTTTGTGACTGAAATACCTTGATAGTTAATGGCTTTTCGTCTAACAGTCGGTGTGCATGTTTGAACTTTAACGGGCGTAGGCAGAAGATCATAAAAATCATTTCTTTTCAACCGACTGAGTGGTAAATCATCAGATTCATCTAAACTAGAGCTTGTTCCATAAACTGTGCGATAATTTGATGCTATAGCTGGTGATTGCTTAGTTTGTTCTGGAGTCGCTGGCCGAAGACAATCAACAGGTGAAATATTTCCAAGCGAGACATCGGATATTGGAATCGGTGTCAAAATTGATGGTGAACTAGTAGCAGATTCTGAACTCTTCTGTTGGTCACTATTAATAGGTGGTATATTTTCTTGATCACGATCAGGCGTTGAGGCTTCCGATAAAATAGACGGTGTTGTACTTCGGTTTCTGAAGCTTGTGCATGAGGATGTTCGAGAGCTGGTGCGTTTTCTTGTGCACCATCTGGTGCAGGAGCTTCCGTTAAAATGGAAAGGGCAAAAGATGTTTCTGGTATGGCCTGTGGGATGAAGGGATACAAGCCAGTCGCTTTAAAGTCACTCGTGATTTTGCTGTGTGTCATACATTTAGACCAAACGCTTGAAATAATGATATTAAGCGTGCTTTAGTGAGTTTTTTGTCTCTGTTTTGGTCCATAAATGATAACAATTCAGCATCTCAGTGGTGCTCGAATGATCGATATACGGCTTTGTCGAGAGGCTGTAATGCATGGGTTGTGTTTGAAGGTAGGCAGTACAAATTAATGCCAAGTGAATCGATATCAAATCAAATACATGCTGCTCCGTCAAATATCAAAAGGCAATGTCCCTGGCTTTTGTATCTAGACAAGTGTTTTAAAAATATTTTGAAAAGTTCATTGGTCATATACCCCTTTGCTGATTTTTCTACTAAAGATTCTTGATGCAAATTATCGTACAAACGTTTTCCCTTAAATATGACCATAGGTGGTATGGCTGTGCCAAGAGCATTAATACATCCTGCGATGGTAACGCTTTCAGCATGTTCAGAAGACTGCAAATGAACCCTTTTAGCCCCTTTTTTGGTCAAAACACTTAGCTGGTGGTGGATAGTGAGACGGTATACGGATATTATAAATTTTCTCGGGATGATCATATAAGTCAAATTTATCGTAGATATCTTTCAGTTTTTTTAAATGGTCATCAACAATAAATTTATTTAGTTTTTGGGCTCTAGCTGGGTCCATGAATTGCGCTTTTCTTACGGATATTTCATGGTGTCTTTTCATGAACGCTTTGAACCAGTCTTTGCCTGCGCGTTTGCCCTCAACATTAAAATTGTGTTTTATATTATTTTGCTCACAATATTTATACACCAACGGACGCAATATTTTTGGTGTAACAGGCAAGCCCATTCCAGAATACCAGATTATCCTTTGCACAAGTTGAGCTTCCTCTTCATCACTTAATATAGGTTTACGTCCCAAACTTTTCTTTAAACTGCCAGACTGCAGATGATTTCTGATTGTTCTTCTAGGAACCTTATAGATCTCTGCAGCCTTATACGTACTCAAAGTTCCTATTTGTACTGCTCTAACAGCTGCGATCAGATCGTCTTTTGACCACAATACCCGTTTGGGAGGCATCGTGACCGTAAGCACTGAAAACAATGATAAATAAATTGAAAATGTATAACTACGTAC